CTCTAGGAGACAGAACGCGTCTCCTTCCTGAGCGGTATGATGGCTGCGTGGTCCCATGGTGTTTATACTTGCGTACTATTGTTTGTACAGATGAATGTGGTACCTTCAGGATTTTGAAAATTGCTCCCAAGGATCAACCAGACTTGTGGAGGTCTACAATTATTTTCTGAGGTCTTGGCTGATTTCTTTTGATTTTCCCATGATATCAAGCAAGGAGGCACTGAGTTTGAAGGTAGGCCTTGAAATACATCCACAGGTACACCTCCAATTGACTCAAATTATGTCAATTAGCCTATCAGAAGCTTCTAAAGCCATGACATCATTTTCTGGAATTGTCCAAGCTGTTTAAAGGCACAGTCAACTTAGTGTATGTAAACTTCTGACCCACTGGAATTGTGATACAGTGAATTATAAGTGAAATAATTGTTGGAAAAATTACTTGTGTCATGCACAAAGTAGATGTCCTAACCGACTTGCCAAAACTATAGTTTGTTAACAAGAAATTTGTGGAGTGGTTGAAAAATGAGTTTTAATGACTCCAACCTAAGTGTATGTAAACTTCCGACTTCAACTGTACCTGACCCACGGCCTGTTCATGCTGCTACCATCTAGAAGGCGGAGACAGTACAGGTGCATCAAAGCTGGGACCGAGAGACTGATAAACAGCTTCTATTTCCAGGCCATCAGACTGTTAAACAGTCACCACTAGCCAGCCTCCGCCCAGTACCTTGGAATGAACCTTAGACAATGTCACATACTGTTTGACCCACTTTATATTTATTTTTTATTTTACCTTTATTTAACTAGGCAAGTCAGTTAAGAACAAATTCTTATTTACAATGACGGCCTGTATATATACTGTATTGTAGTCATGGATCATCCTACATAACTACTGCTGTACACACCTTTTCTATTCACATACTGCCCATACTGTCTATACACACCTTTCACATACATATATTTATATTCTGGTCTCTGGTCCGGAAGCTAATCTCCTGTAATTCTATCCATTTTGCCATGGGGTTTTGTACTGTGTACTTAAATACTGTATTCTCGACATAGCTCATTCTAATATATCTACTGCTGTACATATCATTCTTAGTATATCTTGTGTAAATTCATCTGGTGTATATAATCCACCTTTCCAGAAATAAGTCTCTCACTGTTGCCGCTTGTTACAGACCCCCCTCAGCCCCCAGTTGTGCCCTAGACACCATATGTGAATTGCTTGCCCCCCATCTATCCTCAGAGTTCGTACTGCTTGGTGACCTAAACTGGGATATGCTTAACACCCCGGCCGTCCTACAATCTAAACTAGATGCCCTCAATCTCACACAAATGATCAAGGAACCTGCCAGGTACAACCCTAAATCCGTAAACATGGGCACCCTCATAGATATCATCCTGACTAATTTACCCTCTAAATACACCTCCGCTGTCTTCAACCAGGATCTCAGCGATCACTGCCTCATTGCCTGCGTCCGTAATGAGTCCGCGGTCAAACGATCACCCCTCATCACTGTCAAACGCTCCTTAAAACACTTCAGCGAGCAGGCCTTTCTAATTGACCTGGCCCGGGTATCCTGGATGGATATTGACCTCATTCCGTCTGTAGAGGATGCCTGGATGTTCTTCAAAAGTGCTTTCCTCTCCATCTTAAATAAGCATGCCCCATTCAAAAAATGCAGAACTAAGAGCCTATAGCCCCTGGTTCACCCCAGACTTGACTACCCTTGACCAGCACAAAAACATCCTGTGGCGTACTGCATTAGCATCGAACAGCCCCCGCGATATGCAACTTTTCAGGGAAGTCAGGAACCAATATACACAATCAGTTAGGAAGGCAAAGGCTAGCTTTTTCAAACAGAAATGTGCATCCTGTAGCACTAACTCTATGTTTTGGGACACTGTAAAGTCCATGGAGAATAAAAGCACCTCCTCCCAGCTACCCACTGCACTGAGGCTAGGAAACACTGTCACTACGATAATCGAGAATTTCAATAAGCATTTTGCTAGGGTTGGCCATGCTTTCCACCTGGCTACCCCTACCCCAGCCACCAGCTCTGCACCCTCCGCTGCAACTTGCCCATGCCCCCCCCCCCCCCCCCCCCCCTCCCGCTAATCCTTCACCCAAATTCAGATAGCTGATGTCCTGAAAGAGCTGCAAATCTGGACCCCTACAAATCAGCTGGGCTAGACAATCCTTTCGTTCTAAAATTAGCCGCCGAAATTATCGCAACCCCTATTACTAGCCTGTTCAACCTCTCTTTCGTATCGTCTGAGATCCCCAGAGATTGGAAAGCTGCCGCGGTCATCCCCCTCTTCAAAGGGGGTGACACTCTAGATCCAAACTGTTACAGACCTATATCCATCCTACCCTGCCTTTCAAAAGTATTTGAAAGCCAAGTTAACAAACAGATCACCGACCACTTCGAATCCCACCGTACCTTCTCCGCTATGCAATCTGGTTTCCGAGCTGGTCATGGGTGCACCTCAGCCACGCTCAAGGTCCTAAACGATATAATAACCGCAATTGATAAAAGAGGGTACTGTACAGCCGTCTTCATCGATCTGGTGAAGGCTTTTGACTCTGTCAATCACCGCATTCTTATTGGCAGACTAAATAGCCTTGGTTTCTCAACTGACTGCCTCGCCTGGTTCACCAACTACTTCTCAGATAGAGTTCAATGTGTCAAATCGGAGGGCCTGTTGTCTGGACCTCTGGCAGTCTCTATGGGGGTGCCACACGGTTCAATTCTCGGGCCGACTCTATTCTCTGTGTATATCAATTATGTCGCTCTTGCTGCTGGTGACTCTCAGATCCACCTCTACGCAGACGACACCATTTTGTATACATCTGGCCCTTCATTGGACACTGTGTTAACAAACCTCCAAACGAGCTTCAATGCCATACAACACTCCTTCCGTGGCCTCCAACTGCTCTTAAACGCTAGTAAAACTAAATGCATGCTCTTCAATCGAACGCTGCTTGCACCCACCCGCCCGACTAGAATCACTACTCTCGGCGGGTCTGACTTAGAATATGTGGACAACTACAAATACCTAGGTGTCTGGTTAGACCGTAAACTCTCCTTCCAGACTCACATTAAGCATCTCCAATCCAAAGTTAAATCTAGAATCGGCTTCCTGTTTCGCAACAAAGCCTCCTTCACTCATGCTGCTAAACATGCCCTCGTAAAACTAACTATCCTACCGATCCTTGACTTCGGCGATGTCATTCACAAAATAGCTTCCAACACTCAACTCAGCAAATTGTATGTAGTCTATCATAGTGCCATCCGTTTTGTCACCAAAGCCCCATATACTACCCACCATTGTGACCTGTACGCTCTCGTTGGCTGGTCCTCACTACATATCAGGGATGTAGCTCAGTTGGTAGAGCATGGTGTTTGCAACGCCAGGGTTGTCGGTTCGATTCCCACGGGGGGCCAGTATGAAAAATAATGTATGCACTCACTAACTGTAAGTCGCTCTGGATAAGAGCGTCTGCTAAATGACTAAAATGTAAATGTATATTCGTCGCCAAACCCACTGGCTCCAGGTCATCTATAAATCACTTCTAGGCAAATCCCCGCCTTATTGTAGCTCATTGGTCACCATAGCAACACCCACCCGTAGTATGCGCTCCAGCAGGTATATCTCACTGGTCATCCCCAAAGCCAACACCTCCTTTGGCCGCCATTCCTTCCAGTTCTCTGCTGCAAATGACTGGAACGAACTACAAAAATCTCTGAAGCTGGAGACACTTATCTCCCTCATTAACTTTAAGCATCAGTTGTCAGAGCAGTTTACCGATCACTGTACCTGTACACAGCCCATCTGTAATTAGCCCACCCAACTACCTCATCCCCATATTGTTATTTACATTGTTATTTATTTTGCTCATTTGCACCCCAGTATCTCTTTTTGCACATCATATTCTGCACATCCATCACTCCAGTGTTAATACTAAATTGTAATTATTTTGCACTATGGCCTATTTATTGCCTTACCTCCATAACTTACTACATTTGCACACACTGTATATAGATTTTCTATTTTCTATTGTGTTATTGACTGTACGTTTTTGTTTATTCCATATGTAACTCTGTGTTGTTGTTGTTTTTATCGCACTGCTTTGCTTTATCTTGGCCAGGTCGCAGTTGTAAATGAGAACTTGTTCTCAACTGGCTTACCTGGTTAAATAAAGGTGAAATAAAAATAAATAAATAAATATACGTACAGATTACATTTGGAATACTTTTACAGTGCTATTTGGGTTGTTAATTGGATCCGTTCCGACATTTCTTGATTTCTTGTAGTATATATATTTTTTATCATTATTTGTGTTTGACATTTTACTGCAGTGTTAGTAGCTAGTAACTTAAGCATTTCACTGCACCCGCTGTAACATCTGCTCAACTGTGTATGCAACCAATAACCTTTGATTTGATATGCGTGTGACATGTCTTTGACATCGACTGTCTGCTATTATCAACAGAACCACTTGAGGGCACTCATGCCCGCATAGGCTTGTAATAATATGCCATGGTGAAAGTCCTAAAGATAGTAAGGGTCCTGAGGTTGCACAGCCTATAAACCCTTCTTTCCTCCAAACCCTCTTGCAAACTTTCAGTTTCAGATTTTGAGCCAAAATTGTCAATGCATTTTGGCTGTAAAGCTTCAGGGAGTAGTGTGTGTATGTATTATCCTCTCACTGTCTCTCACTGAGGAGGATCTGTTACATTAGCCAGGCTTTTAATCGATTTGCCTGTTCTGCTCTCCTCCTGGTCAAGCCCATGGGACTGACTACTGTATACGTGAGCTCTTTGTCCTCTCCTCACTGTTCATCTCTATCTCACTTTGGTCTTTTCATTCCTCTCTCTCTCTGTCGCTTTTCCTTTTCTTATCTCTCTCTCGTCCTCATTTCTCTTTCACTCCCTGTCTCTCCTTCTTTTCTTTATATTTCTCCTCATTTCCTATTTTATTTATTTTCTCCAGGGACTTAGTTCTGGATTACTTCTCTTGCCGTACTGATCCGCTGATCTGACCATTTGCGGTAGAATGGGGTCCTCAAACCACAAGGTACAGTAGTATTCTGACCTTCTCTCTCTTACAGTGCCTTGCAAAAGTATTGAGCCCCCTTGGCGTTTTTCCTATTTTGTTGCATTAAAACCTGTAATTTAAATTGATTTTTATTTGGATTTCATGTAATGGACATACACAAAATAGTCCAAATTGGTGAAGTAAAAAAAAAAAAAAAACTTTAAAAAATTTCAAAAAATAAATAACGGAAAAGTGGTGCGTGCGTATGTATTCACCCCTTTGCTACGAAGCCCCTAAATAACATCTGGTGCAACCAATTACCTTCAGAAGTCACATAATTAGTTAAATAAAGTATACCTGTGCGCAATCTAAGTGTCACATGATCTGTCACATGATCTGAGTATATATACTGTACACATGTTCTAAAATGCCCCAGAGTCTGCAACACCACCAAGCAAGGGGCACCACCAAGCAAGCGGCACCATGAAGACCAAGAAGCTCTCCAAACAGGTCAGGGAGAAGTACAGATCAGGGTTGGGTTATAAAAAAATATCAGAAACTTTGAACATCCCACGGAGCACCATTAAATCCATTATTAAAAAATTGGAAAGAATATGGCCCCACAACAAACCTGCCAAGAGAGGGCTGCCCACCAAAACCTACGGACCAGGCAAGGAGGGTATTAATCAGAGGCAACAAAGAGACCAAAGATAACCCTGAAGGAGCTGCAAAGCTCCACAGCGGAGATTGGAGTATCTGTCCATAGGACCACTTTAAGCCATACACTCCACAGAGCTGGGCTTTACAGAAGAGTGGGCAGAAAAAAGCCATTGCTTAAAGAAAAAAATAAGCAAACATGTTTGGTGTTCGCCAAAAGGCATGTGGGAGACTCCCCAAACATATGGAAGAAGTTACTCAGGTCAGATGAGACTAAAATTGAGCTTTTTGGCCATCAAGGAAAACGCTATGTCTGGCGCAAACCCAACACCTCTTATCACCCTGAGAACACCATTTTCTCTTGAAATTTGCATTGATAGTATAAGATAGGACTGGGTGTCAGGAAGTTGCAACAGAGCTTCGTACTGTTCTGTAGTTGAGGGCATCATGATGTAGCAACATGTAAAATGACATTTGTTAATCTTCACTTGACAGACTTCACTTAAGAGGCTGAGTTAGCTGTATTCTGTCTTTGGATGGACCCTAATCTTATTGGCTACCCCTTATTGGCTACCCAAAGGGGTGTGGCCGTGGTGGAGCAAACTGATGAGAGGGACCAATGGTATGTTCCTGTATCTTTTACTACAGTGTCATGGTTTTTGACCATTGCTTTGTCTTGTTATATATTCAGCTCATAATCCTCTTTATATGTTCTTAGTCCTCTCTCTCTCTTTGTGTGTGTTTGTGTGCAGTGGTGTAAAGTACTTAAGTAAAAATACTTTAAAGTACTTAAGTAGGTTTTTTTTTGTACTTTGCTTTACTATAAAAAAATGGACAACTTTTACTTTTACTTCACTACATTCCTAAATAAAATAATGTACTTTTACTCCATACATTTTCCCAGAACCCAAAAGTACTCGTTACATTTTGAATGATGATTTCTGAGTGTTTGAGTGCGCCCCTGGCTATCCGTAAAGAAAAAAAAGAAAAAAATACAATCGTGCGTCTGGTTTGCCCAACATAAGCAATAATTTTGATACTGAAATATATTTTTGAAATTACATTTACTTTTGATACTTAAGTATATTTGAAACCAAATACTTTTAGACTTTTACTGAAGTTATATTTTACTGGGTGACTTTCTCTTTTAGTTGAGTCATTTTCTATTAAGGTATCTTTACTTTTACTCAAGTATGACAATTGGGTACACTGTGCGTGCGAGTGTGTGCTTGTGTATTTGTGTCTGTGTGTGCATGTGTTCGTGTTTAAATTGTGTGTTTTTGTCTGTAGGACATTGGTAGGGGTTACACAGTGAGGTGCTAATCCAGGTAATAAAGGAGGCACAGATTAGAGCCCTGTGTGTGTGTGTGTGTGTGTGTGTGTGTGTGTGTGTGTGTGTGTGTGTGTGTGTGTGTGTGTGTGTGTGTGTGTGTGTGTGTGTGTGTGTATGTGTGTGCGTGCGTGCATGCGTGTGAGAGAGAGAGAGAGAGAGAGAGATAGTGTGAGAGAGAGAGAGAGAGAGACAGAGACAGAGAGACAGAGAGAGGAGGGGGCAAGAGTGTGTGAGTGCATCTCCTGGGCTATGTGTGTCTGCCTCTTGCGTTCGTTCGTCATAGCGCTCAGTGAGTCAGCATCTCTTTTTTCTTTCCTGAGTCACTCATTTAACGGTTGCCCGGTGACCGCAGAACAGAAAAAGGTTCCAATTGCGTGTTCGCCTGCGAAGACAGCCACCAATATTTATTCAGGCCCTGCAGTGAGTGGCCAGGAGAAAATAATAGACATATATTCTCCAATGATTGCCTGGGTGCCATGTCATTGGATGGAGAGGAGCCGCTTAGTAATGAGTTTTTGCACTTCCTGTTTTGGAAGGAGATATACTGTCAATAGCGCTCTGGGGCACACAGTGTAAAAGGAGATGATGGATGTCTCAGGAGATGTTTATTTATATGTATAAAATACCAAGTTTTATGTTGAAGAATAACATAAAATTAACTACATTTTATGTGAAAGAATCACCTTTTTCTCCATGCAGGTATGAAGACTTCCAGTGCTGGCTCTCCTCAGGTGAGAGGGGCCCCCAGGCCAGCCCCGTCGCCCCCCACCGCAACCCTGTGACCCCCCAGCCCAGCCCTGCATCATCAGAAGGGGACGAACCTGGACACGGGAGGAAGGTGTCTTTCTTTGATGATGTCACTGTTTATGTGTTTGATCAGGTAACTGCATCTATCATACAGATAATTGGTATTTTACATCAGAGTCATGTTTTTATGCCTACAGTATCTACATAATTTAATTTTGAACATTCTCCATAGGAGAGTCCCACCAGGGAGCTACAAAGTCACTGGCCAGACACCAACAGCCGAGAGACCAAGGGTCAATCTCCAATAACAATTTACAGACACACACCTGAGACCAATAATCAATCCCCAATCCCGCCCTGCAGCTATGTCAACCATCTACCTCACATGTCAACCTCAGGGGTCTCCTTAGAGGACAATGGTATGTCTCTATCTCTCTATCCTGATGGTGATCTCTCTATCTGTCTAATGACATCTCTATCTGATGGTGGTTGTGTTTACTTGCCCTACAGGTCTTGGTTTAGAATGGGAGGATGACTTCTCCTTCTTGGACAGCTCCCTCAAAACCAAGATGGCCGACCACCATCTTATAATATCAGAGTCCAGTATATCTTCCGCATCCCCTGACCAGACCTCCACACCCCCACACCAGAGGTGGAGTGGTCCATCCACCCATGCCTGCTCACAGTTGAGACCTTCCAGTCTGGTCCTCACCCACGTCACTGATGCTGACCTGGAGCAGTGAGGCAAGTGATTGGCTGCACACTTGTTTTTCTGTCACCCAGAGAGCCTTGGGCTCATGGAAAAAATTACTTATCCTCTCTCCCTCTCTCCCTCTCTCCCTCTCTCCATCTCTCCCTCTCTCCCTCTCTCCCTCTCTCCCTCTCTCTCTCTCTCTCTCTCTCTCTCTCCTCTCTCTCTCCTCTCTCTCTCTCTCTCTCTCTCTCTCTCTCTCTCTCTCTCTCTCCTCCTTTCCCCTCCCCTCCCTTCCTCTCCCCCTCCCTTATATGATTCATTATTTAATGGATTTCTAGCTGGAGAGTTTTTTTCTTTTCTCTAGCAGTTCCAAACCACCTGTTGGTTGGTTGCACTGATATCACAAAGCTCTGTGACAGTACACTGTCTGACTCAATAAGCCTTCTATTTAGTGAGATGGATCACTGGGCTGTGTAGTAGCTAACAGCACAGCTGGCCACAGTGAAAGCAATAGATATCAGACCTGTGGCTCTGGCTGGAGTTGAAAGCATGTTATCTTCTTCTCAGTCAGCATAAAGGCTTATTGTTCAGCCCGGTCAACAGACGTCTAGTTTTACTACTGTCTTATCACTGCCACTGGTCATGCTCTCGTGCCACATTCAGCCTCTGGCCAAATGAAAGTGAAAAGGCTATTACATAGGTTTCTAAGACACAATGACTTCATCATTACACAATGTAGTAAGGGGTGTAGTAAACAGATAATATTGATCAGTTTTTATCCTTTTATAATAAGAAAAAGCACAGTTTGTGTGGACTCTAAACAGAGAAGTGTGATGAAAAGGGAAACAGATGAAGGGAAGGAGAGAAGGAGGGAAGGAAAGGAAGTGAAAGAGAGAGAGGGAGAGGGCCCTTTATTTGTCTAGCTATTTCAAGGTGTGTCCTTGAGTCCATCTGTGGACTGCGGACGGCTCTATGGCTAGAAGAGTTGGAGGACAAGACAGGATGGCACTCAACTCTGATCCGCATATTCATGCTTGCATGTGTGCGTCCATGTGTGCGTGTGTTACAGTATTTGGTCCAGCTTGTAAGAGCTTAGTTTGCTAGACCTATTTTAAAGTATACCCAGCACAGTGTAGTTATTAGTTATCAGAGCCCATGGGTAAACTAAATACATATGGTTGGCCTGAGGAGAAACTGAACAAACGGAAAAAAATGTTTCCACAGAACCTGAAGTGTGGTTTAGTGGTTGATTAGAAGAAACCTGTCAGGACCAGTACTAGTGTTCACACACACACACACACACACACACGAACAAATAAACACACATACTCAAGGACATTTTGCTGCAGGGTGTTTGATGCTGGGAGCTGCACACCTGTGTCTGACATTCTCTTTAGATACCGGTAGATATGTTTGTGGAACCATAACACCATATCATACAGAAGTCTGACTGGCGTTCTTGTGTTTTACACCAGGATCCGGCACTGGGGATGAGAAGATAGAGGTCTAATTGTGTGTTTGCTGAAGGAAGACAATGTGATGGAAGACAAATCCTCAAATAAACAGAAGAACAGAAGAGCTCAACAGTTGGATCTTGCTGTTTCACCACTAGTAAACACTACACATACTCCCTTTACATTCTATGGGCCTGACTAGGGGTCCAACTACAGGGGTGGTAAACCATCCCTTTTCAGGCTACTGTACCACCAAGAGTCAGTTGTTTACCTTTCAGGGCTGTGCCTGTCTTCCAATAAGGATTAGCCTACAGCACATTAACAATAACAGAGGGGTCTGATGATCAGAACATAGCAATGGTGACCTGATAATCCTGCATTGAATAAATGGGGTCCAACAATGGAAATGGCTTGATTCACTCATAAAGTATAAGAAATACAAGAACTTTGCTTGACAGCCTGCATATTCAAAATGTAAGAACATTTTCACCAGGTTTTTCATCACCTAACTACTGTCCTGATAAGAGCATGATGTTGGAAATATAAGAAAATATTTCTACAGAGTTTTCATTGAATTTGTTTCCCCTTGCCTACTGTGAAGCATATTTCAGTGATAAGTAATACCATGCTGCAACAATAGGTCACACACACACACACACACACACACGCACACACACACACACGCACACACACACACACACACACACACACACACACACACACACACACACACACACACACATGTGTATCACAAAATGCTGTATTCAAATAGAAAAAGAAACAGTTAAAATAGATGAACCAACATAAAAGTAAAGTAAAATCCCCACTGTGAAAATTGATGGGCGACTTGGAGGGATTCGGACAATGAATAGGCGGGTGCAAGGAGTGGACTGATACATGTGGAAAGCCTCCAATTGATTTTGACCACTGAAGCTCAGTTTTATCCCTTTTTATACCTGGTTCTAACATGCGTCATTTGTCTATCATATCTAGACGGGATACAGATTTTGTCATATTGACCTCAAAAGTAGATTTTTTGGGCATTTTAGCTAACCTTAACCCATTTCCTAACCTTAACCTAATTCGCCTAACCTGCTACGTTCATTCTCCTAACCTGCTGCATAGGTTCTCCTAAACCTGCTACGAAAAGGTAATTGTGACAAAAGCTGTATCCCTTCTAGACAAAACCTAATTTGTCCTGATCTTGTCCACATTCTAATTGTGCCCACAATTTAAGACAGGTGTAGACGATTAAAATACGCATTTTGATCTGATTGTGATCTGATCTTACTGACCACCTCCGGAGTGATTTTTCAAATAATTTGCACAATTTGCATACAGGGAGGGACCAGGATATCTGGTCACAATGCGGACACAGTGAATGGACCTAGAGAGATACATTTTACTACCATGTGTAGATCAGAGGAGGCTGGTGGGAGGAGCTATAGGAGGGCAGGCTCATTGTAATGGCTGGAATATAATAAATGGAATGGCATCAAACATGTGGTTTCCATATGTTTGATGTGTTTGATACCATTCCCAACTATTCCATTCCAGCCATTACAATGAACCTGTCCTCCTATAGCTCCTCCCACCAGCCTCCTCTGGTGTAGATGCAAAGGCTTCAATGTGGGCACAATCAGAATGTGGATAAGATCAGGACAAAGGAAGCATGTTAGCCTCATAGCCTCAGATGTAAACGAGGCTTTTGGCTGCGCACGGGCACAGATGACCACGTCCGGAGTCTGAGCGCACTCCCATTGGCTAAGCGAGCGCAACGTGTACGTTACAGCAGCGACAGGTACCTCACATGCGACAGTTATCTTTCATCCTTGGAGCGGAACGACAGACGCTTCTTCCACTCAACCGAAACTTTAATTCTGAGGATATTATTGATGTTCCACGGTGAAAACTATTCTTCTACATACACGGGCATCTTACTTTCATTTTAAAGGTAAGTAAAATGTCAATGTGTTGCCTGTTCCCTTTTTTCTTGATTGAAATCCAATGAAGTTGTATCAATTTAAGATGTTCACTGTTTTCTCAACTTGATGAAGGCTAACTATTTACTTTATGTAAATGATTGGTGAGCGTAGGAGAAAGAGAGTAGGAGAGATTTACACAATTTAAACAGTAGGGGAGACCGGGAACAAAGTAACATGGGGTCAGTTGTAACCGCTTAATAACTCATATTAGAAACCACTTAGAAAGCTGTGCTAATGCTTGGTTCGTGTCTCTACATGCCTAAGAAGTTTTGTTTAAATCCAATTATTGACAAAAAATGGGTTTCGAGGCCCTAAAGTAAATATACTTGCCACCTCTCTTTTTTAAATTATTGACTTGTAGAACATTCTCCATGCATCTAAACATACAATCAGGTCCAATATTTTTGGCACTGTAGATAAAGATTAGCAAAAAAAGAATGTATAAAATAAATCATAAAAATTCTGAGCTACTGTATATTGTATGCAAAAAAAAAGGGAAATTATGTTATTTTATACTAATACAACTGCTCAGAGAATTTAATTTATTTATTAACAAGTAATAATTTTTTTCTAAAAAAGGTCAAAATTATCGGCACCCCTGTTTTCAATACCTTTCAATACCTCCCCTTGCGAAGAGAATGGCACTGAGCCTTTTTCTAATATGTTTTAAGAGATTTAAGACCATTCCTCATTACAGAATCTTTCCAGATCCTTGATATCCTTCGTCTGCGCTTATGGACTGCCCTCTTCAATTCAAACCACAGGTTTTCAATGGGGTTCAAGTCCGGAGACTGAGATGGCCATTGCAAAATGTTGATTTTGTTGTCAATTAATCATTTCTTTGTGGATTTTGATGTGTGCTTGGGGTTATTGTCTTTCTGGAAGATCCACTTGCAGCCAAGTTTCAGCCTCCTGGCGGAAGCAACCACGTTTTTGGCTAAAATGTCCTGGTACTGGGTTCAGAACTAAGATAATACCTTCAGAAAAAAAGGTCAAATTTATACTTTTGAATGCTAATATAAAAATAGGCTCTATTAATTTTGGTACATTTTGAGTTTTTGGTCAATATGATATGCCGTTAAAATCCATTGGAAATGTATTACATTTACGTCATTTAGCAGACGCTCTTATCCAGAGCGACTTACAGTTAGTGAGTGCATACATTTTTCATACTGGCCCCTCGTGGGAATCGAACCCACAACCCTGGCGTTGCAAGCGCCATGCTCTACCAACTGAGCTACAGGAGGCCAATTTATGTTGTCAATTTAGGGCTAGAATCAATCAGTTCTCCCTTAACCCGCGATAACTGGCAACTGAATAGCAGTTTCATTTAGGCGATGTCAGAGGTGTAACTGCGTTGGAGCTGTCAAATCAGCAGACGGCTCCCGGCGTAATACCTAATGCAGACATTGCCATTGGATGCGCTGAGTCGCATTAGTAATAATCCCATGCAGCATTTTGTTGCAAGTTGGAACACTGTAATATATGTTGTAATCTACATTTCGATTAGGCTGAAGTGAATCCTTATTATTTTGTTGAATGATTTTACATTTGAGTGTAATTATTCCTATATAGCCTACACTTTCTCTTTCGGTTGAATTGTAAACGACTGGTATGTCCTAGAAACGTAGTTACAGTGTGTAATGGTAGTTGAGATATGTATGTTGTTTGTATAAAAATAGTATTAATCCGGTCTCCCCTATCATCACCCCTAAATATTGTTGAAGTATTTAAGAAATATGTTGAATGAAATAATCCTAAATGAAATAGAATTTTACTATTTGATAATTTTTTGCATGACTGTATAATTTATGTAAATGTAACAGTGTGTAGTTTTGAATAACTTGCTGGTGTAGTATAGCAGAACAGCCACTTGCAGTAAAAAACTTTGGGTCCTTGAAAGGCGCTATATAAGTCCCATGTATTATTATTAGTGAATTCACCTGTTACCATGGTACATGCATGGCATCTGATTAAGCATAACCGTATAGGCCAGCAGCCTCCACACAGTCACACGTTTCACATCATAGATAGCCTATATCTCACACAGATAGGCTTACTGTTAATCTCACAGAGCAATGTATTTCTACTTTAAAGGCACAATCTTCGATTGCTACATGCAACTGTCGTAACCCATCAGGATCCAAAGTATAAGCTTGTTTTACTCAATTGTTTGTAAACAATTGAATTGTAAATAAACACTGCATAGCCTTAAGACATGGTTAAAACTATACTTTGAATTTCATAGATGGTCAGTCCTTGCATTCATAGCTCTGTTTATGAATTTGAGAGTGGTAATATTTCTTCAGCCCCATCCCTCAGATGTTTACCAAATCAATGGTGGGGTGCCCACTTTGTTGTTGTTTGAACTGCAGATTGCCCCTTTAAGTTATGAGATGGCATACACAGGGGAAAATCTCTCTACGCAAACGTGTGCTGTTATTTTCTGGCCACTGTTTGTTATAAGAGAGTAACCTTGAGTTGGGTATTATCTGGAGCCCTGGGTAGCCTGCAGTAGGATAAGAGAGGTGGAGATTACACACCCAACATTATGGCATTTTCACACACTGGCTGATTAGATAGATGCTGTGTTTCTTAAAACTGCAAATAAAAACAATGATAAAAGGGCCATATTTCTGTCTTACTGTAAAATAACATATTATGCAGGTATTCCTCATCATTCCTCATCAATCTAAGCTTATTCGTCAGGATACAGGATGTAAACAGTACAGTGAAATGCTTATGGATCATCAACAGCAGGTTTAGTTCCATTAGCTAATTACAATGTAATTACAGTGTAATCACCATTTTATAACTTCACTGGGTTTGCCAATTCCTAGTGGTTTTTGAGTAATAATGACTCAAACTCAAGTCTATGCCAGGAGAGTGGAAGGGGATAAAATGGTGCTCAAAAAGCAGGATATTCCAACTTGAGTGTTTAAACTCAACTGTAACATTGTAGCCCTCAGGGCAAAGGCCCTGCCCCTTGTTTGCTTATCTCTTCCATGACAAGCCCTTTCTGTAACCAGTTGTTGTTTCTCTTGTCTTCAAAGCTTTTGGCAGTGTGAGGAAGAGGGGTAACTGAATCAGGCTGAAGGATGAAGTCTAAAGGGAAGGCCGCTAAGTCATCCAGAAAACCCTGGACCGAGCCAGACCCAGACCCCGAACCAGAGACCAGTGACACCAGTGAACCAGGCTCCAGCGAACAGGAGGGCTCTGAGGCTTCGGTCCGTATCGGAGGATCCTGGAGGGGGGTCCTGAGGGGCGGGGACCGCGAGCAAGGCGGAGGAGGAGGGGGCGCCACCCACGGCCCCCACAGACGCCGACGGTCTCACAACAGCAACAAAGAACGCAACGTCCGACGGCTGGAGAGCAACGAGCGGGAGCGCCAGCGCATGCACAAACTTAACAACGCCTTCCAAGCTCTCAGAGAGGCCATCCCGCATGTCAAAATGGACAAGAAGCTCTCCAAGATCGAGACACTGACGCTGGCCGAGAACTACATCAAGTCCCTGACCACCATCATCCTGGGGATGTCCAGTGCCCGCCTGCCCCCCGGGGAGACACCGACAGAGGCTAGCGCCGCCAGACTGCTCCAGTGTTACCAGCAGCACCTGGAGGAGGATGGGGAGGAGAGCCTGTCTCAGTTCCTCACCCAGATTCACAGCTTTAGCCAGGAAAGCTAACAGCTAGCAGGTGCT